GTTGAACAACATAAAGACTAAGAACTGGCCATCAGGTGTGGCACTGGAAAAGTCACCTGATCTGAGTGGAACTGCAAAGGTGATTTTGAAAGCATGGCTGCAACAGACTCAAGGCAAAGCAAGGAACAAAAATGGGAAAAGCCAGGTGTGGATAATTTTTTCAAGGACTTACAGCAAAAGAATGAGAAATAGAACACAAGAGATGTTACAATATACATGAACATTGCTCTAGATCATTCAGGAGAGAGAAAAAAACTGATGGAAAGAAAATCCTTAAAACTGAAACCTTAGCATAACTATCCAGTTGTAATTCTGCTGGGATAAAGCAATTAACATTTGTCTGGGGAAGTAGATTTATTCATGTTATTTCTTCCCCTTCATATACATGCATACCAAAAAAGTGGTTACATAGCATACTTTTTAGGAAAAATATTTATAAATAGAATAATAATAGAACCATGGAAAAATAAATGGTTGAAACTGCATTTTTATATTTTCTTGTGCCCCCTTTCTTTAGTTCTTCCCTTTAAAGTTTGTTAACATTCTTGAGGACCTAAATTTCATAAAAAATTAATCTTTTGAGATTAATGACAATGTGTTTCTTTTCTGAAATATCTTAAGATAAAGATGACATGTGAGATTTGCTCAAAATAATTTATTTGGGAGAAGAGGATGAACTGGGTGAGGGTGGGAGCTGGATTAAAGAAGTTGGTTTTGAGTTGATAATGAAGCTAGGTGATGAGTATATGGATGATTCCTTACACCATTCTCTCCGTTTCCATACTTATTTGAAAGTGTCCATAATACAGTGTTACAAATTAACAGAAATATAGAGTCAATAGTATGCTTAACCAAAAGGAATCCATTAAGTGGTGAAATTTCAGATAGTTTGGAAAATGAGAAAGCGCTATGTTAGGGCACGACTCTTTTTTTGGCATTTTTCAAACCATATCAGCTACTTTGTTTTCATATACAGGGCAGGGACAAATGACTTTTTATTTGATCCCAAAATGTCTTGGTTGCTTTTAGATAGAACTAATTTGGATGCTGTTTATGCAATTAATTTGGAAGACTGAATTTTTTATGAAGGCTTGATGCTTCTAAATATATGATAACTTTAGGTAAGCATGATGAGAACACTTGTGCTATGAAATATGTTTTGAGGGAAAGTCATGGTAATCCAGTTGATTGTGATTTAAAAGAATGAATACTTGAAGTTGGATGAATAAAAGATGAAATTTCATTGCAGGAGTAGTTACTATTTTTTTTTAGATGCCACTGTGATTTTTGAAATTTGTTTCTTGTGATGCTATATAAATACGTATCAAAAGTTCTTTTTAATTTTTAAAAATAAGCAAATGTGCAAATAATAGCATTGCTACATTAACTCTTCAGATATTCACCAAGAGGTACTCTTTATGGTTTCTAGTTGCTCATTAACCATTTTATAGTGTTGTCGTTGCTAATATCAATTGTCTCTAATTGCTGGTAAGCTCTACCAGGCAAAGTTAAAAAGCTGCAATAATTTTTTCTGTATCAGAAATCTTCAGATTTTATTCCTAACACCTTCCATCCACTATACACTCATTTCTAAAAGTGTACTATACATTTGAGACTTATCAATTCTACTTCAAAAATTAAATACAAATTCTTTTGCTCTTTGCAGCTATGGTCTCTTTTGTATGGTTTTATTTCCCTCAACATTTTCTTGGTGAAAACTACATACTGAACATGGGAACAAGATTTCCTTTGTAATTGATACCTAAATTTCTATTCTGATTTGAGCATCTAATTTGTGCTGTAAAGACATATAATTTGAGACTTGTAGCTATATCACAAAAGTACAACAGTTTACTCTGATCTCTAATTTTCTGAGTTGCACTGGCTATAATTTAAATTTTTTGCATGTTTTTAACTGCCATGCAAATCAGTATACATCAGGAAGCTTTGTGTACTGACAGAGAATGGGAAAATGATGCCTTGTTCTGATTTCAGATAAGCATTCTTTTTCAGGTCTGCAGGTGCAAGAGGACCCATTCATAATATTTGCTTAAAGTCAGTTATAGTCACTGGAGAGAAATACAGTGCTAATACAAAATAACTTTATGAATAACAATTAATTTTTAAATTTTATTATTATTCACAAATTCTAGAGGCAAGTGGGATGTTTTCAACTGACTATGTGTGAAGAACAAAATATACTTTGTTGATCTAAGATTTGGTCATTTTACTATTATTTAAGCATATACGTTTACTAAATCTAGAAAGGCAGTTATTACTTATTGAAACAGGATGGAATTATGCTTGGTGGAAATTTTGCTGCCACAAATACATGTTCCATTTAAGAAATAATTGATAATGAATGTTATTTTTTCCTTTGCATTAAATTTCACTTATTTTGAAATCAATATGTAAGCCAAAATATAACCACAAGACAAAGCACTTACTCTAAGTGCCCCATTTCAGATAACTGGGTAAATCTCCCTGAAACATATTAAATAATTATACATGCAACAACTAAATGAAGTTACCTGGATGTTTCCACTGTAAGTCTTTATTTATAAAGTTATGACTTGACTGTTTTAATTAGCTTTGGCAGAAACGTGGCGCATCAGTTCAAAGCACAGAAGTAAGTTAATTTTTGTGTACAAAACAATTACCATGATTGATTAAGCTCGCCTTCAGTCAGGAAAGTTAGATTAAAGCTCTCATAGAATTTAAGGGCTCCGTGACCAGAGAAAAGTAAAACACTCTTTTAAAAAATATAGTAATAGTCACTGCACTTGCAAAAATAACTGTTTGACTTACATGGAAAACCAACAATAACTCATCCTAAACTGATGATTGTTAGTACACTTATGAGTTCTTGTTTTATGGTTTGCTAACAATACAATGCTACCACCTTACATTTCCTTTTGATGACCTAAATCAGAAGTCCCTCAATCCCTTCTCATACACTATTTGAACTTCCCTTTGTGACTTAGGGAGGGTGTTATTATCCCATTTTACAGATGAGGACAACCAAGTTTATAAAAAGGAAACAACTCCAAATCAAGGTAACACTGACCTAAGAGGTTTGGTTGGAAAGAAAGCTGTCAATCCTGGACTAGGATTCTTTCTGCTTCTCAGTCTCTTGACATGGAGCTCAGTGAGGGATTACATATGTGGGAAAGTGGTTTCTTTTTTCTTTTTCATTTTTTAAAAGAGAAAGCTGAATGGATGGCGAGTTAACTCATGAATATTTCTCAAGAGTATTTAATTCATTCATACTGAACCCCACGAGAGAAGAAACTTGTATGTTGCTGCTCTTTTCTTTCATGGGGCAAAAAGAGTATAAGATTCCTATTTACAATCACTTTATGCACAGCCCTGAGTCAACTGCAACTTGGTGTCTGCTGGACCTGCATCCTAGAAAGACAGGAAGCACACTCTGTGTAGAAGATGCCCAAGGGATGCACCGGAACGTCTAAACTGACAGTGTAAATACAGCAACTTCCCTTCAAAACCTCCACTCAGTTAGTTTCCTGGCACCCAGGAGCAAAACCCACGGTCTCTAACTACAATAAGATATTGCTATCGCTCCAGGGCAGAAATTCTTGCACCTGGTCTCCAAGGCCTCCTGTAAGAGAGGACACCGCCACACACCCGCCCTTCTGAAGTTCTCAGGGCAGACTGTGACTGACATCTACCACTTACCTGGCCGGGATGCTCTGGCCAGGAAGCCCTTAGTGCCATCCCAAGATTTTGGGCCAAGAAAATAAAATAAAATAACTTACCACTTCGCCCCAGTCCAAGAACAAGTGAAAAAAACCAGGCTGCCCGGAGAAAGGAGGCAGGACCTTGCCGGCAGTTTTGCACGCAGACAAATGCAGCAGTAAAAAAAGCCAGGGCCGAGCCGCACATAATGCAAAGCAGCCCGCCCCGCGCCCGGCTGCTTTCCTGACGCGCGCTAGCTCCTCCCGGGCGCACCTCTGGGCCCACGGGCCGGAGGTCGCTAGGACGTCGCCCGCAGGCCCGGCAGGCAGACCCCGCGGCTGCGAGCGAGCGGTGCAGGTACGCGGGCCGGGGCACCGCTCCGCATCTCAGGGCCCCGGCGGCCCTCCCAGCTCGGCGCGGCGGGCTCCGCGGTCTCGGCGAAAGGCACCTCCTCTGCCGGCTGATGGCTCGCGGCAGCGACGCGAGCGTGGGCTCCACAGCCCGCTCCCGGACAAAGAAAAGAGCTTTTGTTCCTCTCCAGCCGATGGGGCTCTGCTACATAAATCAGTTTAGCTAAGAGCCAAACACAATCAAACCTAAACAAAGCCCGAAGCTGGGGGGAAAACCACCCTAATGAACATCACTGGGTGATGCTACATTGGTGGGAGGGGACGGCTGGAAGGCCGAAGGGGGAAAAGTCGATGGCGCACCGCGCGAGCGTCTTCCACAGGTGGGCAGGGAGGCCAACTCCACTTAGTTGCAGCTTTGCAGCCTGGGCCGCGAAGCAGCGGGCAAGGACCAGGCAGCAGCGTCCCGACTGGCGAGGCGGGGAAGCTCGGGGTGCCCGCAGTTGGGGAGGCGAGTCCTAGAGGGGCCCGTCGACGCCCGCAGGCACAGAGCGAGGCATCGCCGCTCCCTGCCTGGCCGGGAGTGGAGCGCACGGCGGCTCGCGCAGGAGGGGAGGTTCCGCGGGGGTGCTAGAGCCCGGCCTCGCGGGGCGGGGGCTTCGTGCCCTTGTCCTTTTGGCTCCAGTACGAGACTCAGGCGCTCCGCCGCCCAGAGCCCTGGCAGCAGGCGCTCTCTGCAGTGCACCCCGCAAGCACGCGAGGGAAGCGAGGCCGGCGATGGGGTGGTCTTGCCCTGGCCCCCCGGAGGACTCCTAACCTACTGGTAGCAGGGCGCACTGAGGGCCACGAGTTGCTAGGAAACCGCCCCACGCTACGGTGCGCCGGTCCGGGTAGCCTGCTGCGGCCCAGGCTGCAGCGGCAACAGCTCGAGCGGCGTGGGCGGGACATTGGTGAGGCATGAAGTCACCACGGCCCACACTCGCTCTTTGTTTTGCTCACTCCAGCTCTTTTTCTCCCCTCTGGATCTGACAGTTGCCATCCCCATCGTTCCGAGAATTCCTAGTGCGTAGCCACGCAACGGGATATCGCACTGCGTTCCCTATTCCCTCCTCCTGCACTCCCAGCTTGCCTAGCTGGTATGTTGGGAGACTCGCTCAGCACTAGTGGCCGCTCTGAGCGAACTCCAGTCTCTCTCTTACCCGAGCTGCGCGCTCCTTTGTTTAGAGATACTCACTGCCCCGCAGCTGCTGCATGCAAAGTGGAGTCCAGGACCTCTGCCCGCCCCCCAGACTCTCTGTTCCCGGGGTGCGCATTGCCCGCTTTGTTTGCAGAGTTGGGAGCTCGCCTTCTGCCCCATCCTAAGGCTGTCCCGGGTCTCCCCAGCCCTTGGAGATTTCCACGAGTTTGCAGGGGCTGAGATTTCTCTCCGCTCCTTCTCGCAGGCTCAGCCCTGCGCTGGACAACTTTGTTTTTTTCCCCCAGGGTCTGGTGGTTGCTCTGGGCTTTTTGTTGGCTATACTGTGTCTTTTCACCTTCAGCATCACCTTCCCAGTAAAAGGAACAAAGAAGTTAGAGACCACAGCAAAGGAGGGAGAGACGCTAAGGAGGGGAAGAGGAGGACATTTCTGCCTGGTGGCAGCTCAGAAATTCAGGTGCCAGAGGGGAGCGATGTGATGCCGGGCGCCTGGGGAAGCAGCGCGCCTCCTTCGGTTGATCACCACCACTCCAAACTGAGGGAGGGGACCCAGGCTTCCCCACCCCTTATTGTTTCCAATTTGAGACAGGGTGATGATAGTTTCCTTTTTCCCTCTAGGGGCAGGAATGGTTTCCCAATCTTGAAGTCTGGCTTCTTATTTTTCCACTAGTAGCTTACCGGATCTCTGTAACAGAACACTCGGCTCTTACAGACAGCAGACCAGTCCAGCCAGGTCAAGGTGAAATGTGGGGGAGTTCCCCTCCTTATTTAATAGTTTCCGTCTCCTTATTTGGAGTAAGAAAACAAGTAGGAGGCTCTTTCTGTCTCCTTTTTTCTTTCTGTTTTCTAATTAACTGAGTAAATGGAAAGTACCTGGTTAATACACCACAACATGGAAAACTCCCCTTGGTTCAGGTGTGGCCGGCACCTTGGGGTGCACAGAGTCAGCTAAGTGAACTAGGAACCCAGTTTCAGAAATGCCTGGATCCACTAGGCAGCCCAATTCTACTGGGGGCAATATACTCCACACAAATAGAACTAAATCCTGCTTTGCTTCACTTTAAAAATTCCTGCTTTGGTAGTTCAAGTCTGAACTACCATGGTCTTACTTAGTATATTCAAAATCTGATAAGTGATTCTTCAATTGGGCAGCATGTGTATTTTATAGAGATTATGTCACAGGCCTAAGGAATGCAGCCACTTTTGAGACAGTACAGTTTCAAATAAAGAAAAAAATCCCTAGTTTCCATAAGGATATGTGAACACACTCTACACCATAAGGTGACTTTCATCACCTCAAAGTTCTATGGCATTTTCATCTACCTCTTGATGCTGGATTGTAAAGGGAGGTTATAATATTACATGCACATAAAAATGGATGTAGTTTTGTGGAATGGTGAGGTACACATTAATTTTTGTAATCCTGTATTGTTAGTTGTTGCTACATTCTATAGAGCAAGTCACAACAGCTGCCTAGCAACAGGAATAAGATGAAGCTCATAGATCTTTTTTTTAGGAAGGTCTGAACCCCTTCAGAAAGAAGGATGCCCATAGTCTGTGATGTGACTCCCCTGAAGATAAATTTCAGGGTGCCAGCTTTATGGAGTTATTGGAGAAAAAGCACAGCACCGTTTATCACTACTCTCCAGTTGGGAAGAGATTTTAGTACTGGGTATTAAAGTAAAATAGGACATGATATCCTGGATATTAGACTGTGGTCATGCAAGTTATTCACAAGCAACTTATCTGTATGTTTAGGGCTATAAAGTTGAATGTAAAAATTCTCCTGAAATTATGCAAATCATCATGAGGGTTTTCTTACAGTAACTATAACTAGAGACTTAGAAACAAAAATTTTGCTTGTATTCTATAAATGACATTGGTCACCAAAACTCATCCTTTTTCCTGTAATAACTATATAGGGTATTGTGATAAAATGCACTATTATCTTTATCATATTACCTGAAGATTTTAACAGAGAAAAAAATGTTCAAGACATGATGACTTCACTAATTCCTGGATTTCTAATATGTTCTGCTGCCTTACTTTGAATTTCTGACAGTTAAGTTTATATCATTTATAGTAAGAAGAACAAATGAAATTCACAGGTAGTCTAAAAATAACACTTATTCATTCCAACCTTCCTATCATAAGATTCTTTGAGTTGTTAATAAGTTATATAATTAGATGACTTAAAGGTCTTCCATACTCCTTTTACCTTGATTTGTCACTAATTCAGTTTTTAGTGAGAATTAATAAGCTGTAAGTGGGTAGTGGGAGAGAGAGAGACATCCAAAAGACTACTCTTTTTTTTTTCTGAGTTTGTATACTTTAATCAGATTTTGTTAAAATTATTGACCTCCTAGTTGTACCAATAGTCGTATTCACATTATAATATTATGTCATTCTGAAGTTGAGATCACAGTTACAGCTTTTCAGTGGATAGTCTAAGTTATCTCTGAGCTTGCTGACCACTGAGATATATTACAGTGACTATGACTACTAGCTTCTTCTAGTGATAATGAACTCAAGCCACTGAAACATCCCTTTCACTGAACTGTTCTATAAGACAGTGTTTCTCATCACTCTGTGGACTGACGCCTGCCTGCAACATAATTACCTGCAGAGTAAAATGGACCTCTAATTCTCTGCCTCGAGTCCAGAAGTTTCTGAATTAGTAGATCTCACACAGTGCCCAGCAACCTGTATTATAACAAGCTTCTTAAATTATTCTTCTATACATGGAACTTTAAGGACCTCCTACTGTAATGGATTAATACAGATTCCTCAAAGGCTACATAGGTGTTTATTGACAAAGTTCATTGTCAGATGGAAATTATAAAAAAAGTAAATGACTAGAACTAGAACCAGTGTCTCTTGGCAAGACAGTCTATGGATGATTGAGTTCATGAGATGTTAATGATTTCTGAAACAAGACTCCTATGATTAAACTTGGGGAATGCTAAGTTAAAGTTAAATTCTTTCCTCAAGAAATTTCCAGAAACTCAAGTAGGCCAGCATGTACTGGATTCTCCAGAATAAAAACCTTTTATTTAAAGAATATCTAACAGACTAATTTTCTATGAATCATACAGTTGAGCTGGTCCCATTCTATAATTGTGGAAACTGAGACTCAAATTGGCAAAGAAACCAATCTCACTGCTTTAAGAAAATTCCCAAGCAGGAGTGAATCAGAGATCTGATTCTTTTGATCATTATATATCAGGGATGAATTGTGGTTCCAAGTAACAGAGTAATATTATGGCTATAACAAGTAAAAAAGAAAATTATTGCAAGGAAATTGGGAGTCCACAGAATCAGCAGGAGGCTGATTGAATAAGGCTAGAAAACAGAGGCGAGATAAATGCAAGTGATAAATGTCTAATGCACAAGAGGGTGTTCTAATCACCCCTTCCTCCTTGAACCACTTAAGATTCAGCATCCTGGTTAAGAATATCTGATTTTCAAGACTTTAGTTAGATGTCAGTATCCAAGTTTATTAGGGTAGAGAAAGGGGAAAAAACACTCTTATCTTTGGCTTCCTCAGTGAAAAATATAGGTACATTTAAAGGAAACATGGTAACTGTTCACAGCCAAATCTCAGCTTTCAGTGATCCTTTTATAGCATGCAGCCAATGAATACTCCTTTAGTTTTTAATTCATCTTCACAATGACTGTAGAGATAGGGTGATGTTTGAAGTGACTCCTTAGCTTTGTGAGATTCTTTTTTGAGCCAAGTCTGCACAGATGCTGCCAGTGACCTTCTTTCTGCCTCACGAACTGCTTGCCGAGTAGCACACAGCTCGCAGTGCTGAAGAATGAGCATTCCTCCTGGGTGTGGTCTCAACTGTAGGCTGACCAGCTGGGAAGTAAGGTATAAATATTCCAGTTCCTTTGTTCCTTGTATGGAATCACTTTGGACCTTGTGTTCCACACACTATTTTTGCACTTGGTTTGTGTTTTCAACCCAACATCGATTGATACTTTAAAAAGTAAAGTTAAATGAATTATTAGGAAAATGAAACTTATCTCAAACTGATAACTTGCTATAAAAGTTTCTAAGTACTTTGAGTTATTATACATTTTTCATTCTGAGCCAATCTCAAATACTGGAAGCACTGTCACACATCACACTTTGAGTAATATTGAGCACCTTTTCCCCTGCATGAGTAGTCTGGTTACTCACAGTGGTAACTGAATTCAAACACAGTCTCCATTGGCACTTTCCCGTGCCTCATTTTCCCACTGCCATCTGGTATTTCCTTGTCTCAGCATCATCTGTGTAAACCTAAACTAAGAAGAGTAATAGATATGACTGGAAATTAGCATTTCATGTCCTGCAAATGCAAATTTGGATTCCATTCCTGTCTAACTACAACATAAGCACAGAGTAAAAAGCTCAAAGGCTTGGGAATACAAAACAAACTAAAGTTTAAATCTGCTACTTAGTAGGATAGGATCATGGGTAAGTTATTTAATTTCCCTAGGCCTCAGTCTGTTAATTTATGCAATGACAATATTAAAATAACTATTCAAGTTAAAAATTAAAATGAGATGCCATTACATTTCTGTTAGAATAGCCCAAATCCAGATGTGAAACAACAAAAACCTTCTTTTACTTCTTATGCAATGTAGCATAGCCACTTGGGAAGACAGTTTGGCAGATATATATATATATACCAGCAATCACACTTGGATATTGGCCCCCAAAGAGGTGAAAACTGTGTCCATACAAAAACGTACACATGGACATTTATACCAGCTACAATTATAAAATTGCTAAAACTTGGAAGCAGTCAAGGTGTCCTTCAATAACAGGTAAATATACTATAGGAATATAGATAATGGAATATTATTCAGCACTAAAGAGATGAACTTTCAAGCCATAAAAATACATGGAGGAAACTTAAATGCTTATTAATGAGTGAATGAAGCCAACCTGAAAAGGCTATATACTATATGATTCTACCTATATAATAGTCTGAAAAAGGCAAAGCTATGGAGACAATAAAAATATCAAGGGCTACCGAGGGCTAGGAAGGCTACAGAAATGAATAGATGGAACACAGGAGACTTTCAGTGCAGGAGAACTATTCTGTGCAATAATATAATGATATATTCATGTCATTATATATTTGTCCAACAGAATATAGAACAGCAAGGGTGAATCCTAATGTAAACTATGAACTTTGGTTGGTAATATAGTAATGCAGGTTTGTCACTGTAACAAATGTACCCTTATGGTATGGAACGTTGCTCACAAGGGAAGCTGTGCATATGTGGGGTGATTTCCCCCTTCAATTTTAGTATGAAAAAGCTGCTCTTAAAAATATTCATATAAACAAACACAAACTTATACATAGAACACACACAAAACTACACAGCAAGATTATGAAAATCCAGAAAGATAATGAATGAAAAGATTGGAATTCATTATATATTACCTCAAGGATTTTTACAATGAAACTAGGATAATTTTAATTTCACAATACATACAACATTGAAAATGCATAAATACTTATTTCCAGTCTTGCATATTGTCATAAAAATAACATCAAATATCTTTGGTCTTGCTGAATACATAACTTTCCTTTTCTGGTAACTCTATAATTCTTTACTCATATTAATAAACATAGTGAGCATATCTTTATATTGAAGACTGCACCCCTAACATTCCTTATGACAATCTAGTTTTATATCTCTTTAATCAAACAAAATTGCCCTGCAGTCTTTTCAGGC